TCAAGTAATTTTAATATCTAGGAAAGTAGAACTTCAAATTGGCACCACCCCCAGAACATTGGCAGCATCTATCAAAATGCCAAATAGTCATACTTTTAACTTAGCAATTTCATTTTTAGGGTACCAGCCCTAGAGAAGTATTTGTGCTTATACAGAAAAAGACCTATTAAAAAATATTTTTTAAATAAAAAAAGAAAAAGACCTATTTAAGTACATTAATTATTGCTTGTAGTAGGAAAAAATAGAAATGATAATCTTGGGGGAATGCCTAAATAATGATGCCTCCCTAATATATGACCTGTATGCATGTTGATTTTGAGTACCTACTTACTGTGCACTCTCTTGAGCATTTTATTTCATTTACTAGTTAAAACCCACCTGTGAGTTGTCACTGAATACAAAGATGAAGAAATTTGAGTCTAAGAAATTTACACCTTTGAGTAGTCATTTTCATCATTCCCTACCCATGTTGAGATACATTTGTGTAGAAATGGAGATATCCTTTTCTCCCACATTTAACCAAAGGAAGTATGAAGAAAAGGAAAAGAAAAAGCTTTAATGAAAGAGAAACAAAAAAGAAGGTAAAATGCTAGAAAAGTATGTTCATAGAAAATCAGAGGATGTCCTAGAATGTTCGTGTAAGTGAAAATAAAGTTTTCCCAAAATAAAGAGAAAACATTCCATCTTAGTCCATTAGGAACCAAACCTTGCTTAGAAAGTGAGACTGATTTACACAGCGTATTATGTACTACTTATGTTAGATATACAGAAACCCAGTTGTAGAGACTTAACTAAATAGAGGTTTATTATTCTCCTAGAACAGGAAATGTAGGGGGATGACAATGCAGAGCTGTCAGAGTAGCTCCACAGTGTCTTCAAGGTATAAAGTCTTACACTTTTTAATTTATTTTTTAGCTTATGCTGGTCTTCCTCATGGTCACGTGATAGCTGCTCCACTTCCAGGCTTTTGCCTGCATTCTACCCCCGCCCCCCAAAAAGGAAAGACTGACATAGAGAAAGGAGCCATGTCTACGTCAGAAAAGCTGAACTTCCCCTAGAAATTCCTGGTAGACTTCTGTTTGTGCTTCATTGGGCATAACAGGGTCATTTGGTCACTTCTAGACATAAGAGAGCCCTTTCATTAGGGCACTTGGTCTCCTACCTCAGGATTCTGTCAGGAATGAAGAACAAGAGTCATATGTTATTCCCTAACACATTGCTTGTCACTAAGGAGAGCATTTCAAGATCACTTTTCTCCCAAACTTAAGCCTGCTGTTTACTCATCTAGACTTTGCTTTGTGCCTGAGAGGGCAGAGCCCCATCCTTTGGCCATACACTCCCAGCCTGCTCCCTTGACATCCATGCTGCGTGTGGGTCCCTCAAGAGTATTGGCAAAGAGAAAGCTTTTTGTATTAAAAAGAAAAAGCAAATTGTCAAAGATCATGCAGTGCATCCATTTGATCATGCTGAACATCCATCCAGCAATCCCTAATGTTTAGAGTCACATACCTCTGTTACTTTTACATTTTGACTACACACTCCCTGTGTGTATATTTTTAAGTCATGCGTGTATGTATATGTAAGTATATGTCTCACCATGCTAACTCATTATGTATGTACTAACATAGTGAAAAATAACTCAAGAAGGAATTAGGAAAATAAATGTAAGTAGAGTTCTTTTCCTTTTACCTCAGTAGGTTGCCTTCTGCCTCTCACTTGGGAGAACATTGGCATAGCCTAGCCAGCAATTTGAAACTCAAATTTTATACTTCAGACTAAATTACTTTATTTATATTTATATATATATTAGTTTTTATATATACTAATTTATATATGAAATTTCATGTAGGTATATGTACATAGCCATTTACTCCTTCTTCAGTCTTTATATATATGCTCATCTTAAGGTAACTTAGCCTTCCACTGCACCAGGCTGGGTCTTGTCCTTCAAGCACCTGCCCTTCGGCTTCTGAAACAGCAACCTCCCCATTCCCAGGCCCCTTCTTCACCCCATCCATGCTGTGCTCTCCATCCCAGCCTCTTCGCACCTTCTAAGCCTTGCTCTATCAGGATTCCTTGGTTTCTTCCTTCTCATTGGCTCTTTTCTCTTAGCACTGACCCGTGCTCAGATTCTTCCAGCATTTTTTGCCTCCTTCTTCTCCTCCAGAAGCTCCTGTTGTTCTCTCTCCTTTCTTCCAGGCCACTCTTCCCTTTGCCCTCCATCTTGTTGCACTCCGTGTCCTCTCCAGTCTGATCTGCCGCACTGAGCTCAGCACTTCTTGGGCCACTTGGCCTCCCTGCAGTGTTCACCACTCCCCTCTTCTCCCTGGCCTCTTCCAGTCTTCTGCAGTCACTCTTCTTCATCTTTGATGAAAGCAGATCTTCCCCAGTCAGTATGCCCTGTACCCTTTCTCAGTACATCCTCTCCCATGTGATCTTCTCCACTTCTAAGGCCTCAGCTCTTCCTCTACCTTCCCTGTTATTTCCACATTCGTGTATTCTGCCCTGATTCTTGGTTTGCATTTTAGTTATCTACTGGGTATCTCTTCCTAGGTAATTTAGTGATTTTCAGAATATAACATGGTTAAAGCCCCCAAACTCCTCTACCCAATTATTTACATTAGAAGGTTTAGAGTCTCCTTGCCATCCATCACCAGGCCTCCCCTTTTGATTTTAGAATTTCCATAAAATATCCTGTCTTCCCCATTCTTCATGTTACCTGCCCTCGGGGAGCAGCATAGTGGAGTGGAGTAGACATGGGCTTTAACTCAGATGTGAGATGCCTGGGTTCAGATCCCCACACTTCCACTTACCAGCTGTGTGATCTTGGGCATGGTGTTTAACTTCTCTTTAATTTTCTTATCAGTAAATCTGAGACAACAGAAGTTGCCTGTTAGGAGCATTGTTAGAAGTTACTAAAAGAAAATGCATGATGCATGCTAAAAACCCCTTCCTTGACTACTAAATCAGACTCACTGATGGACCTGCCTTTGCTTTCTCCTCTGTGCACACTGCCACCACGGCTTCTAACAAGTAGGATCACTCAGTTTCCACTTGTTTTTACATGAGTGAGGTATCCATATCCTTAATCATACAAATCAGTTCACTTCAGAGAGTGGAAGGAGATGCTAACTTGAACTGAATTTCAGGACAGCTGCCACCAAATGCAACTTTGTTGGGAGAACTGGGATGAATGACCATCCATCCATGATGGCCTTTACAGTGTGCCCATCTGCAGACACACCAGGCTGTCACACAGGCCTGATATGGCCCTGTCTCTCCTCATGGAAATAAGCATGCCTCCACTCCTGCAGAGTGAATCCATTCCTCCTCCATGGACTGTGATGCTTTCCACATGGCTCTAATGTAGCACTAACCACTCCATTCATTATATAAAAGAAATTTCTTCCCCTCCCACTAGATTGGTGAGTTTCAAAAACCAATCTCATTTTTCTTTAAATCCCCAGATATTCACACAGTACATAGAATCAAATTTGCATTCGGTAAATGCTTATCGAGTTAATAAATAAATAAGTTGGATTTATTGGTTTGTCTTGGACATTCAACATGTGAAAAAAGATAAGGCAGCCCCAAGAAGAATACAATATGAAAGTGGATTTTATGTTCTTTTTTCATTTTATATTATTTATTCCTGCCTCCCCCTTCTGTGTTTCTTAACCTAATGTGTAGAATATCTTGTTTGTAATCCCTTCCTCTCTAGTTCCACTCCCACTAGCAGTGGAATCCACTTCTAACCTGAAAGTAGAGGCCCTCATGGGACTTTCAGGAGAGTTTTTACTTTCTTTGTAAGAGAAACAGATGTAGTTGGCTCACTTATTACCACCCCTTCATCTTCATTCTTCCTTCTTCATGTGGAATGTAAAAGTGGTACATGGAGTTACAGCAGCCATCTGACAGCCATGAGGAGAGCCAGCACACCCATGAGGGTTGTGGAGTGGAAAGCTAGGAGAATCTGGGCCTCTTTAATGGGCTTTCACTGAAACTCCAAAACTTCTTGTACTCTAGACAATAGACTCCTTCCTCCCTCTCCAGAAACTGTTAGTTGGATTCTCTGCTTAATTTGCAGCCAAGCACACTCCATCCTACCTGGTATTTCATCAGCCTCACTTTAGATATCTAACTTTAACTCAAATTTAATGCACTTGTAGTAATTTTTTATTGGTAGCCATAAGATTTAAGTGAAATAAATACAATCAGTATTGGTTTTCTGATACTAGAAAAAAAGTTAGCTTTCTTAAAGTCTTCATATTCTATAATTTGAATAATAAATTTATATATGTTTATCAGCAATATCAATGAAAAACTATACTGGAAAATAGGGATTTTAAAAAATAAAGCCAGTTTGCTGTTGAGCACATATCCAAGTACAGTATGGTCACTCCATTTTTTCCTTATTAAAAACTAACCTAATTTTTTTTTTCCGGTCCCAGGGATTGAACTCAGGACCTTGCGCTTGTGAGGCAGGTGTGGCACCACTGAGCTAAATCCTCAGCCCTAACCTGATTTTTTTTTAAAAAGAGATCATAGCCATTTAAGACTAAAGCACTTCATCTTCTCCACTTAGTTATATACACAGTAAAGCTAAAATATTCTCTATAAGTTGCACGAAGTGTTCCTTTGCTGGTAGTGGTTATATACCCTTGCTGCTATTTTTGAAAGTTCTGTGTCAGGCTGGGGGTGTTGCTCAGTAAGAAAGCATGTGTTTAGCATTGGTGAGGCCATGGGTTCAATCCCCAAGCACAAAAAAAGTGAAATAAATTTCTATATCAAATCATAAAATTTACTGTAAGAGTGCAGTTTTGTAAAAAACAAATTTGTTTTTAATTCTGAGATAACAGATGTATTTCTCTGCAATCAGATTTAAGACAGAAAGTTCCTATACTTTAAATGCTGGCATATGCTTTAATTGTGTCTATTTAACTGCTTAGTATTAAGTATTTTATTAGGCATTTAGTCATCATTGATTGTTTTTTCCTTAGCACCAAGGACAATTGCTTCAATGTTAATATTCAGCCACCTATTGGAGAACTGCTTTTACCTGTGGCCATGTCAGAGAAAGACTTTAAGAAAGAGCAAGGTGAGAAATTACCGCACTTGCTAGAAATTTAGTGTACCAAAGAATATGTACTCATGCTCTGGCCAGTCTCTAAAATAACTTTGTATAATATATAACCATTAACAGATGTCGGTACATAATTTTCCCATTTTTGTTAACCCTTTGAACTTGTAAAATAACCCTAAAAATATGTTTGTTTACATTCATGACAGACTTGAAAATTGAGCAATATGTCTTTAAAGTGATAAATTGATTCTTAATCAGCTTTTCTATTCGGAGTTGTGGTCTGTCAACCTGATTATAGATGTACTTTTGTGTTTTGTATTCATAAAGATACCAGGAATTGGGGACTTCAGTGTTCTACCACTGTAAATCTTACATTTTGGTTTTTTGTTTTTGTTTTTGTTATGCAACTATTTTTCATCTCCTACTAATCTGTTATTCCTCCCACACAGTACAGTGCCTTACCCTTCAAACCAAAGTCCTGATTATAGTATTAAAATATCTTTTTATTTTTGACTTAATTCTATATTAAAGAAATGCTGTTTGAATGAATCAGCTGAAACATTTTTAAATATGTACTAAAAAGAAAATATTTTCAGCAGAAAATATCCTATACTTGGTCCAGAGTCAAGCATATTTTCTAATAAAAGTAAAGGGCTTTTTTTATATATGAATATGGGAAAGTAACATTGATTTTATGTGTTTAATTAAGGATAACATTTATAAAGTGAGGGAATATTTAAGTCCCATGGTGAGCAATTTTAAAATTTTTACATGAATCTAAGTTATATTTTACCTATGGAGACTGTTAGCAAACAAAGATCTTTTAATTTTGAGATCATTAAGTCATATCCTTCAAGTCCCAAAAAAGTATTAGACACACACATACCCTTGCTCCTAAGGAGAGGGGCATGCTTCCTGGTACTTGGGTATTGTAATGCCGAAGATTTGGTGTACTCCACACCTGGGTGAGCCATACTGTCAGAAAGACCTGTTGTAGAAGAATCCCACGAAGAAAACCCCAGACTAAGACTCTACATTTATAGTAATCTTTTTTTCTCAGACCTTGCTTTTAAATGATTAAAAAAAAAGGAATGACTAAACCCAACTTTACATTTGTTTTCTGGAAGTTGATAATTGCTGTAGAAGAAAAGTAATTTGTGATTTTTCTTTTCCCAATAACGAATTGATTCTTATATTTGCTATTCTTACCTTCTGCTGGCTAAAGCCTGCCTCTCTGCTTTACACCTGCTCAGCAAACCAAGGTGAGTGGCACATGACAGCGCCTGGATGAGGCTGTGGCACATTTACTGTTACGGGGAGATTCTGTTTTTGCGAAGTGCAGCTGAAGTATATCTAAAGCAGCAGATTATTGTATGCCCTTTCTCTCCCTCAGCTTTCGTTTAGAATACTTGATATTTCGATCAGATTTTTTGTGCTCTGCTGTGACTGAGGGGTTTTTTGCTGCCTAGCCATACAGAACCATAAGTGCATGAGAGAGGTGCTCTTGGAGAATAGCTCTCGTCCTCTGTGGACTTGTTGCCAAAATTCCTTTTTCTCCTGCCATTTTACTTCTATGGTTGTTGATTATTTGTCTGAATAAATCTGGCAGCTGTTTGCTATGTTTAATAGAGCAGAAAGGCTACTCTGAATAAAGCTATTTGAAAATTTGTTTATATGAAGTATTTGTAAATCCTTGCAAGTCTCTTGGCATTTCTGTATCATTCTTTCTGTCTTCCTGAATTCATTCCTTGATGTGGAACTTGTTGCTGGTAAATTTACCACAGGTTTAAAGAGTCTTTTCAATAGCATCTTTTTAGTTATGGATTTCAGCAGGTTTGGTAATAGAGGTCTCAATTCCCAGCTTTACACATGTATTTGTTTGCTATACTGCTCTGGGAAGAGAGCTTATCTTATTTCATAAAAGTTACCTAGAAATGATTAACAGAAAACCTTAAATCAAAATAAAATTTATAACCTCACATTTTATCAATGTGAACTTCTGGAAGGCAAAATGTGAGTAAATTTTTAGGAAGTGTGTGTGTTATTGCATGCTAGCTTCAACCGACTTTCCTACTTTAAATAAAAATTAAATTACATAATTAATATCTCATTTTATGGTGTCTGTATCTTAAGACTCGAGAAGTGCATTAAATGTATTAGGAGTTAACTTAAAAAGTTATGAAGAAGAAACATGAAGATTATGGTTCTTTCTATTTTTATTCTAAAGACGTGCATAACTGAAAAGTGTGTAAGATATTAAAGGTGATTCTAACAGAGTATCACATTAGATTAATATTTTTTTTAAAAAAGCTTTTATTTCTAATTTATACCCCAATCCAACACTTTTTCTTGGTCTTTAAATTGAGGGTTCCATAGCTAAATATTCTCATTGATAAAGTGGTAGTCGAAGTGCCAAGTGAAAGATAGGGCTAGCCTGTATATTGAAAGTGTTTATAGTGTTCATATTATGAGCCTTCAATTGAAGCATGAGTTATTCATTGCTGTGAGTTTTGAGTATTGTAAAGTTAGTTAATGAGCTATCTATGGGAATCTTTCAATACTATAAATAAGATGGGATCTGCCTTTTTTTTAACCTAAGAATTTTTCATTTGGTTTCTTTGGTTTTAATTTGAAGAGATGTAAGCTGATTGTTTATTCTAAGCTGCCTCTTATTTAAATTGCAAATCTAAAATTTAGAAAAGTCTTTTCAAATTTGATTTATTTATATTAGTTGGTTTGCATTTTAGCAGTTAATTATAGCTGATTAACCTAAGTCAAGTGCTGTCCTAAACCCTCACCAAAATTTAAATATATTCTAATGAAGCCACAAATTCTGCCCATTTTATAGCATTTTCCCAGTAACTTTGCCCTTATTATGGAGCAGTCTATCTACAGTAAAGTCTGTTTTCATGAAAGGAGAAACTCTGTTACCTCGGCATGTTTTTTCCTTGTTAATTTGAAAATACCTGATATATTTTCATTTAGCAAAACCTGTGGTTTAAGAAACCTAAAATGTTTACTTAATTTTATTGTGATTTATGCATCCATCTTACGAATTCCTAGCTAGCAAGATGCTAATTCTTTAAATGGTCAGACATTTACTATTTTCTGGCCCTAAACTACCACAAGCAATCATATTTGATGCCCCTTAATTAGAGCACCTTTTTTTTCTTTCCAGGTTCTTTTTCCACCTCAGCAATCGAGACAATACATTTGCTTACCATGCTGCTCTACTAAGTGTTCTTTTGCATGTAAATTAATCTTGATTCAGTTTACACTGTCATGCTGAGTGGTACAAATTGCCTATAACAATAAAACAGCATGAGTTAAAAATAAAGGGGGGTGGGAAGGCAGATTGAATGTGTGCCTTACTTGATGGGATGTTACTTTGCTTTATGCCAATACATTAGCCAACGATAATGAATCTTCTGTTCTGAAAAGCATGGTTTAGTTGATTTTTTTAATTTTACTTCAATGGAGCAGTACCTTGTCTTTTATAGAACAAGTTAGACAAACCATTAATGACAGGAGTGTTAAGGTTAAATATGAAGCAATGCATTCACTTTTCTGAGTGCTATCCATCTTTCCATTTACAGGAACTTGACAAAAGTACTGGCTTTGTACAACATTTCCTTTAATTACATGCTGCGGGAAACAGGCTTTTAACATAAACATAGTTGCATTCATTTATTCAGCAGTTGCTCTTCAATAGAGCTTAATGGAGAAGGTTTAAATCCTAAATGAGTACACACATCTCTCAGCAGTATTATGTCAGCCCTGTGCTTTACTTAAAAGCAGTGTTTGACTGCTTGTGTAGTTTTTAAAGCTTTTGCCTAATATTGAAGTTAAACAGCCTAAGACAGAACATAGTGTTCCCGGAGTTTGAAAATGGTTAGTAAAATGTGCTCCTTGTTAGAAGGTGGATAGTTCCGTTTTTCTATCTGATGGCATAAGTCCTTTTACAGAAGGTTTTGGTGTCTTCATACTTAGTCAGAGGGACTTTTTTAAATTTCAGATTATATTTGCAATAAATAAATGTATATACTTGAAACTAGAGGGTCTTTTGGAATCACGAAATCAAATTTTGCCATTTTCATAAATTTTGTCAACTACTGTACACATGTCAAATGTCTTCAGAGGTTATTTTTAATAGATACCTTTACGTGTCTATCAAGTAGATGACATTTGTTGTATTTTGTTATTTTAACCCAGTACTAAATTTCAGTACTTTTTCCAAGGGTTTAGCACATTATTAAATTTGTTTACTGAACATTTTCACATGAGATTCTGATATTAATCCTAGGTTTTGTGTTAACTCTGTGGTTTTTGTTCATGATGTTGCATACCTTGGTTTCCTTTTAAATTATTATTTGAAATGTCTCTGAGATTTAAAATTTTTCAATTCACATCTTTTCCTGTTTTCAGACTTTTTGGTTTGGAGATTTTTGTTTGTGTTTTTGTTGGGAACTGTAGTTCTGTTTGCTAGGCAAATGCTGTTATTATTCAGTGTAGCTTAGAAATTTGTACAGCGTTTAGAGTCCCATGACTGGCTGGTGACCTCCATCCACTGTGGAGATGACTTTGAACTTCTGTATTGAAGCTGTCCCCATCAGGCGATGCTGCTGATTATTTGTGAATATTTTGACTTGTTCTTGACTGATCTTTGAATGAACAGGAAAAAATAGTAATAAGAATTAAATATTTATACTTTTAAGAAGTAAAAGCTTAATAGTTTACCAGCCCAAATTGTGTATGATATTGAAATGTCATATTTGTGATTTTTACCCTATAGTAGTTATAATTAGGTTTGTGAAGAATGATTTTTGACTGCATTTTTATACATTTTCCTACCCATTAAGGATTTTTAAGAAATCTGAGAAACAGTGGCATTTTAATTTTATAATTATCTTGTAAATTTCATTATAAAGTGGCACTTCTTTTGTTAAGAAAAGGTTTTAAGTTTTGGCTCTGAGCTTAAAATAGTTTAAATGATTTTCACAAAGAAATCAATAAAAGGGAGGCTTCCTTTGCTCTTACAGGTATGCTGACAGGTATGAATGAAACTTCTGCTACAATCATCACTGCACCACAGAATTTCACTCCCTCAGTGATCCTCCAGAAGGTTGTGAATGTAGCCAATATGGGTGCAGTTCCTTCTGGCCAAGATAAGATACACAGGTAGGTTTACTAACACATGGCCTGGGGATGACTGAATAAATACATAATTTATTGTTTTCTGTGGAAATAATAACCATTAAGCCTGCATATACCATCTCATTTTTTCTGATGATATATTTGGTTGATGGGTTTGGATTGATGGCCCTGCCCCATTTGAGAGCATCTTTACTACAGTCATGGCTTGGAAAGATAACACAGAATACATCCACATTTTATGATAGCCTGATAATTTGTAAAGATACCTTTTATGGGGTGCTTGAGAGTTTACCTTATTTTGTCAGATTCAGTGCATTTCCACAAAAAGCTATCTTAGAAAGTAGTGCAGTTGACTCTTTTGGCTGAAAGGGTAAGTCTGGATACTACCTACAGGTTTCTTTTAGAAAGCAGATCCCAAAGGCTGTTTCCAGTTAATAACGTGGGCCAAGTATGGGCCCTGTTCTCAGGCCAGGAATAGCTTCACCACCAGGCATCTGAAGCATGAGATCCAAGTCATTTGTCCTGAAAGGCAGCAGCAAATGTAATTAATATGTTGTTTTCTTTGTATTCTTATGAATGCCAGTAGCTTTAAATGATGGTAGAGTTAAAACTAATTATACCTAAACACATGGTTGGTGCATAGTGCTCTGTGAGCTTACGGGAATCATTACACACTAAGCATACATCTGCATTAAAAATATATACTATATTTAGTGTATCTTATATAATTATCAATTATAGAAAATAAATTTAGGATCAAAGGGAAAGCCTTTGGATTGTTAAAAAAAAATTTTTTTTGTTTTGATTTAGCACAGGAACAGAAGTGCCATCTGTGCTTTGGGTGTAGACCCATCTCTGCTGTTGTTGGACGTGGTAATCTTAGACAAGTTATAACTTCTCCTTATAGGCTTGTTTCCTTGTCTGTTTGGAAATGGGTGGCAGTGTACAAAAAAAGATGCCGAAATGAAATTCTATTACATTTGTGGATGAACATTGGACTTGACTTTAGAAAAGCTAATCTAACATTATTCAGACCTTCCTAACTGCACTATACCCACTTTCCAGTCCCTCTTCTGTCTCTCTTAGAAGCTTTCTTTCACTCAATAAATTTTCTTACTCTTAACTTCCATTGTTCCTAGAATTCATTCTTCGATTTAGAGAACATGAACTTGCGTTTTGGATATCTAGTAGTTTTAGGGGTTATATCTCTTCCTCCTATGTCAATGACAGAATGAAAACTGCATGTGCTAATCAAAAATAGGGGCTTACCTGTGCTTTTTGGTGTGTGCATGTATGTGTGTTTGAGAGAAAGAGGAAAGCCCTTAAAGTGTTCAAGAGATCTGATGCTTCCATTTCTTACTTTATGATGAGCCCTGTCTAACATGGAATGGTGATTAAATAGAAAATGGATGTAAGGTCATCATACTGATACTAACCATTAATATTCAACTTATCAATCAGTGTTGTTCAGAAGGAAAAAGAGAACAAAATTCTTTTTAGTAAAAATGTGTTTTAGTTCTGAGTTTTCTAAGTTTTGTTTGTTTGTTTTCTGTGTGCTTTAAATACTTCTTTTTACTTTCCTAGGTGATTTGTTATGGGTCCTTGGAATTACTGAAATTATTAAAATATCAACTCTAACATTTGCCTTATTTATTATGAAATGTTACCTAACACATTTAATGGTCCGCAACACTGCAGTCTTATTTTAATGCCTCCATCATAATAGCAAAGACAGGGTAATTCTTTCTGTTAGAACTTCCGGTTTAGCTGTAGAGTTTTTTTTGTTTGTTTTGGTTTTTGGTTTTTTGAAACAAAGTTTTATGTAGTTCAGGCTGGCTTTAAACTCACTGTGTAGCCCAGGGTAGCCTCAAACTCTCAGCAATCCTCCTGCCACAGCCTCCTGAATGCTGGGATTACAGGAGTGCACCACCACACCTGGCATTGTTTTGTTTTGTATGTGGGATTTTTTTAAACTTTTAAAAGCAATGACAGTCTTCCAGATTTTTGATTCTTAGAAGAAAAAAGGTCAAATTACCTTCTCACAGCTAAATAACATGAAAGCTATCTTCCTGTTGGAAGATGAACTAGGAAGACACTTAGCACCATTGGGTAACTCTTCTTAAAGCATAGTTTGCCTGTAACCTGTCTTGGTGGTTGGGAACTTAATGCCTGGTCAGGTGACTGAAGTTTAATTATTATCAGTGCTCAATTATCTGTGCTGATGCAGAGGGGACACACAACTAAGAACCATTTGTATTTGACTTTAAAAGGCAGAGATGCACTCAGACCTGATGTTCATGGTCCTCATGCACATCTATGATCTTTTGGTGCTTTTCTTTTCTAACTATCATCAGTGGCCTAGTGTTTGGCTCTGGCAGCTGGCAGCAGAGCCTAAGTTAATATGGAGTCAGAAGTTAATAAAATGCCTTGGGAATAGGCCAAACTGTCTTCATTTGCTTCTCAGGTCCCACCGTACTTAATTGAAAATATTCCATATTTATTTTTACAGGTTAAGTGTGACCTTAGTAATGTTCTGAATTTTAGAAAGCCTCCAGGTAATAAATACCTCATTATTTGCATTTTTCATAAAGAAATTGTCATAAATTATTATTCTGCATATGTGACACGTTTACAGTTTTTTGGCCATTCTTCTTTGCTTGTAGAAGCTAAAACAAATAAGTAACTATTAATAAAATCTGTCTCAATTCTCTTAATTTTATTTAAAATGAAATAGTTTCTGATTACATTTTAATAACAAACATTTTACCACTTTATTAAATTATATTAATGTTTTTAACTGTAGTATTCAGTATTATAATACCCTGTGGGATCAGTGAGACTGTGTATGTAAGCCTACATATTACTTGTTAATGATAAAATTGATAGGGCCGGAGATGTAGCTCAGTGTTGCCGGGCCTGCCTCACAAGCACAAGGTGCTGAGCTCAATCTCCGGTACCAAAAAAAAGAGATAAAATTGAAATTCCTATGAAATTTTTAAATAACTTCCTTATTCTTCTGTGACAGTTTTTTTTTTTTTGAGTTGATAAAGAATAGGAACAAAGACACTAATATTTATTTGATTGGTTTAGGATTTTTAAAAAACACCAAGTATGGAAAATATTTTAATGATTAGTATTTTAAGAGATTAAAGTTTTTAATGTGATTACATTCCTTTTGTCTGGGTTAAGTTCTATTTAAGTTTTCTAGATCTTTTCTTTCTTAGAGGACTTTAAGCATTAGTATATTTTTTCTAACCATTCCATGAGTAGAGTTTCCCTTGTCTGGTTTTAGAATAGTTTATTCCTACTACTCCTTAATATTTATGTATTTTTACATTAAACACTAGGTAAAGAAGTACTTAATACAAGAATTTCTCGGATAGTTATATACTATCACTATAGTATGAAGTAGATAGAAAACGGTTCCTAATACATCAACAGAAAACAGCCCCCAATTAGAAAAGTTAGTTAAAGGAGCACACCCCGTGTTAAAGGAACTCACTTCAGAAATCTGGAGCATTTCCCATGTAGTAACACTTTTAAAGATCAATTCAGAAAGTCTTTCGTTTTGATTTTCTAAATGAGTGATAAAAAGCTGAAGAGTCTGCCATGCTTTATCATCATGTTAGTGGTATTTACTTGCTGTCTGAAAAAGTTACTTTTTTTTTTTTTTGGTACTGGGGATCGAACTCGGGACCTTGCGCTTTCAAGGCAGACATCGGAACCACTGAGCTAAATCCCTGGCCCTGAGAAAGCTGCTTTTTGAGAACAAAACCATCTTGGAGTTATGGTCATTGTACCCATCTGCTGCTTTCCAGATTGCAGTTACCACTATATAAGGAGTAATACAGAAATAAGAAGTACTGTCATCGTCAAAAAGCATTCATTGGGCCAGGGATTTAGCTCAGTAGTTTTGCCGCCTGCTGCGCAAGCGCAAAGACCCGAGTTCGATCCCTGGTACCAAAAAAAAAAAAAAAGCATTCATTAAGAACCAGTGCAGTGGCACGTGCCTATATTCCCAGCACTTGGGAGACTAAGGCAGGAGGATTGCAAGTTCAAGTCCTACTTGGGCAACTTAACAAGACTGTCTCAAAATAAAAAAATAAAAGGGCTTGAGGATGTAGCTCATTGTGAAAGCCTTTGTTCAACACCCTGATACTGAAACAAAAGTCATTAAATGTCTTCATTTCCTGTGTTATATATTCATATTGAAATATGTAAGATATACTTTGCATTGTAAAATCTTAAAATACGTGATTTAAGTCAACACTAATAAGCATAAACAAAGTATATACCAGGGGCAGAAGAGATAGTACTATACCATTATCTGAATGAACTTCAAAGGGAAAAGGTCAAGATTTAGTATGTTCGAAGGGAAAAGATTAGAGGGACCGCCTATAGGAATCTTGGGTTCATCCAGCAGCAGAAAAAATTTCTTGTGATCCTCTGAGAAAAATCCAGTAACTATTAAGGACATTCAGCAGTGTAGAAACTGAGGTACATTTGCTTTTATTACATTGCTTGTCCTCTGATAACAGCGCTTGTGAGTAGTACAACAACCAAAGAGTAGAAAACTAAAAATCTATAGTTCTGAAATCTCTAAGGTTTTTCCCTATGAAGAGTCATACGAGAGTTTATATAAAACTCAGATTTCTGGAACCCACCCCTAAAACTCTATATCTTCCTAAGTCCACAGTTTGAGGCTACCCTGGATATCAAGAGTTAATGATAGCCATATGACACATTTTACTTTTTTTTTTTTGGTACCAGGGATCAAACTCAGGACCTTGCGCTTGCAAGGCAGGTGGTGGAACCACTGACCTAAATCCCCGGCCCCATATGATACATTTTAAAACACATTTTTCCATGTTTGTATATTTCCTTTTTTATACCAATTGGTCGTTGAGGGTTACTAATAGGTGAGATGTTTGTTTGTCTGTTTGTTTTGTTTTGTTTTTTGGTGCTGGGGATTAAGCCCTGAACCTCATGCATGGTAAACACAGGCTGTGCTGCAGAACTACACT